TAGTTTCAGTCCAAGTCCAAAGATCTGATAACAAGGAGAGCCAATGTTGTGAGTTGCAGTCTGAGTCTGAAGGCAGGAGAAGACCGGCATCACAGCTCAAAGACAGTCTGGCAGACAAAAGAGAATTCTGTCTTACTCGTTCAGCCCTTTTATTCTATTTAGGCTTTCAATGGATTTAATGAAGCCTAGCCACAATGGGGAGGGCTATCTATTTTACTCAATCTATCAATTCAAATGTTAATCTCATCCAGAAACACCCCTACAAACAGGTCCAAAATAATATTTAATCAACTGAATGGGTATTCCATGACCTAGTTAAGTTGACACATAAAATTAACCATCATGGTGATGCAAAGTGAACTAGGTCTATTTGGTCACTCTCTATGGCCAAAGAGCTGACCTTGGTTAGAAAAATGCATGCTAAAACCTTATGTGCTTCTGATGGGGCATATGTTGGGTGGGCCAAATTCTTGTTACCTGAAGTTTCAACAACTCTGCTACAGTGAGGATATTACAAAGCCTCGGGCAAAAATAGAAAGTCATTAATATTTGGCCAAAAGAAATATGTCTTAGTGATAGTTGTTCTTGAGCTCATTACAACTTAGTTGGAGAACTACAAAACTAACTATAACATGGGACAACCTTTATAAAGGCCGTATTAGAGAAAATAAACACTATGAGAACACAGGGTGCGTGACTGAGGGAGGGCATTTTAGTTGTCTTTTGTCATCATTTATCTTGGCCTTTCTTTGTCTTGGGTAGCTTTTGTTTTTATCGAGATAATTCACATACCATAAAATTAACCATTTAAAAATGTGCAGTTCATTGATTTTCAGTATATTTACAAAGCTGTGCAACTACTGCCACTAATTCCAGAGTATTTTTATTGTCCTCAGGGCAACTTTTTGCAGCAGATAATATTTTCTCACATTCATGATTATATACCAAATCTTATAAATGCTATGACACTAATTTATTGGCGAAATATCTTGATTCACCAACTTGGGAAGAGAAGCAGTTTTTAAAATTAATTAATTAACTTTATTTATTTATTTATTTGAGATGGAGTCTTGCTCTGTTGCCCAGGCTGGAGTGGAGTGGCCTGATCTCGGCTCACTGCAACCTCCAGCTTCCAGGTTCAAGTGCTTCTTGAGCCTCAGCCTCCTGAGTAGCTGAGACCACAGGTACATGCCTCCACACCTGGCTAATTTTTGTATTTTTGGTAGAGATTGGGTTTTTCCATGTTGGCCAGGCTGGTCTTGAACTCCTGGTCACAAGTGATCTGCTGGCCTCGACCTCCCAATGTGTTGGGATTATAGATGTGAGCCACTGTGCCCAACCAAGAAGCAGTTTTTTAAAAATTTATTGCACAAAACCTCTTGAGCATCATGTTTTAATTAATATTTTGTCGACTTGTACTGTTAGAAAGTAGAATACTTTCAACTTCTCATACTCATTTTGCCCTAGTATTATGCTATATTTTTACATGGTAGTCTTAATATGTTCTCATCAACTATGTAACTTTTCCTTTTCTAGGAAATAAGTTCTGTTACTAAATAGTTTGCTTCCTGGGATTTTTTACTGAAAGCTTTACTTGGTTCTAGGATTCCAATTGCCATTTAAAATGATCAGATGGATATCCCACTTCCCATGGCGGTTATTATGCATTGCATGCCTGTATCAAAATATCTCATGCACTCTATAAATATATATACCTACTAGGTACCCACAAAAATTAAAAATAAAAAAAGATCAGAATCTTTACTTGTTAAATGGCTGTCATTTATGGTTCAGTGTTTTTTTCAATTTTGCTGGGGCTGTAGCTGCTGTGTTAAGTTCTTTGCCCAAAACCAGCCATGATGGAATAGCAACTTGGATTACCACCAGTTCCTGCAAAACTAATTAATAAGCAGCTTTTGTTGTAAAGATGGATAAAAAAAAAAATCAGGCCAGGCCTGGTGGCTCATGCCTGTAATTCCAGCACTTTGGGAGGCTGAGGTGGGCAGATGAAAAGGTCAAGAGATCAAGACCATCCTGGCCAACATGGTGAAACCCTGTCTCTACTAAAAATACAAAAATTAGCCAGGCATGGTGGTGGGCACCTGTAATCCCAGCTACTCGGGAGGCTGAGGCAGGAGAATCACTTGAACCTAGGAGGTGGAGGTTGCAGTGAGCTGAGATTGCGCCACTGCTTTCCAGCCTGGGCAACACAGTGAGACTCCATCTCAAAAAAAAAGAAAAAAAATTGTGGTGTCTCTTATTGCACTAGAACAGCAGCAAAACTTGGAAAATTATAATCATTTATCACTATCTTTATCAGAATTATCCATAGATCTAGGCCTAGAAATCTCCTTTTCCATCTCAGACCTTGTCTTCAAAATTTGTCACATTGGACTATCAGGCATGTCTGCAAAACACAAACACTAAATAAAGCAGAAGGACACGATACATACCCAAACAGAAAAATCTCAAAACATACAACTTCATAGTACAATTTACTTCTAGTTGACCCAATCAACACTTTGCTGTGTTTATAATAGCAAAGTGTCAGGGAGAGAGTTGAAATACATTATGTAAAAATTCCTACATTATATTAAAATTCCCTTTGATTTTCTGTTATACCAGTGGAAGCTGTTGGCATAGGGTAAAGGGAGTCTGGGGGAGGTCAGAGGAGGGGAGGCCAGTGTCATCAGTCTGTTGTCCTCCTTTCTGTGCAATACTCACCATTTATCATTAGCTGTCTTTTTCTCTTATTAGTGCCTGAAAATAGGCCCAGAAAGAGTTCCGTCTTACCAATTTCTAATACTAATATAATGTATATATTTAATATTCAGTGCTGATGTTCTTGAGCCAGTATCAGTAGGAGATACATTTTGAGTTTTTTTAAATTAGTGCTAATAAATCTCATCTGAGTTGCTGAGTTGCCTTGTACCCCATGTGGTCAGTCGTGTATGACCTAGATGGAGTCTTTGGGTCTCTGTGGCAAGGGTCAGATGAATAACAACCTCATTAGGACCTGGTACTAACCTCCTTTCAGCACTCATAAACTCTAATTGTCTGTTTCTTATCTGCTTTCCCCACTGGACTGGATGTAAATAAGTTTATTTATTTACTTCACTTCCCAAGTATGTTGCATAATACCTTGCAAAAAACAAATGTTCTATAAAAAGTTTGCATAATGAGTAAATGCCAAGCTCCCTGAAACATCTTGTCTCCTCCTGCTTCATGCTCATTGCAGAGAAAACTACTGCTCGGACAAAATGTTCAGAGTAGTCTTATTTTAAGAACAGCAGCCCCAGCAGGCACAGAATAAGATCCTTACTCTTAAAAACCCATTAAAGTTCCAGCTACTCTATTGATGGCAAAATGAATGTAATTTTTCCTGATCCAACAGAAGCAATTCAAATAACACTCAGCATTCCCCCCGCTACAGGTACTTTGGCTTGTGGGCTACAAACAAATGAAAAGTAATTTTATCTCAGCTAAACAACCACCTTTAGGGAACCCCCAAGTCTGTGATATCTTGGATTGCTGAAAATATTTTAACTCTGTTGTCCCCTTAAGATATACATCTGTAGATCATGCTCTGCCAGTGGGGATTATTTAGTTATTTGCAATGAAACTCCCTATGAAGGGCACAGAAGGTAATGTCCTTCTCTTGAGGCAGACTCTGGGGATCTCTGCAGGAAATTAGATAGTTTCTTCTGAGAAAATTCATAGGTTTTAGTTATTTGTTTCCCAGTTCAAAGCATTCCTTTGGTCCTCCCATGGGATATTATGGAAATTTCCAGGACATTAAAAAAAAAAATTCAGAGCTACCACCTGTTGTCTTTTACCCTCAAGAACAAATCACGCTATGGGGACGACAGTGAAGAGCTAGGTGAACTCTTTCTTATCTTTACAGTACCCTCTTCTACTGAGGGTGACATGCTGACATGCTATTATAGCTTTATTTAATGTAATTTAGCTCATTTGATTTCCTTAGTGTCTCTGATGGCTTACAGATTAGAAAATTAATAAAGTCATTGTTGCTTTCTTTTAAGTCTCTGCCGTTATTTCTTTTCCTGCATTTCTTGTTTGCCTGTCTTATATTGATATCTTTGAGGCTCACTATTCCTATTCTGATATAATATTCCCTTTTCTAGGTCCCTTGTTTTTTCTTTCCTGATGTTTGGATTTCCCCTTTTCATGATTCATACATTGCGTAAACTCTCGGGTTAAGTTGACCCACTTCTCACCTGAGCTGTTATTTAAGACCCACTTATTTGAGAAACTCTTCCTGGACCACATTGCACCTAGATTATGTGAATGTTTAAAGCTCAGAAAATATAAAAAACATTTTCCAAGCTTTAAACATTTTTAAAAAAGTTTACTGTGACTACTTCTGTTACCTGAAGCTGCTCAGCATTTGCCAAGCCATCTTCTTAACTCTGTGTGATCTTGGCCTTGCTCACAGTGATGTGCAGGATGAGAGACAAGGAATAACTCATCTTTTAAATAAAGAATGATTTATCTGGCAATTTAAAAAAATGAATTGAATGATTCTCAAGCAACTGTATGACATAGCTATTATAAAATAATGCCATTTTAGAGCTGAGGTAACCAAGTCCTAGAATGATTAAGTAATGTACCCAGCCAACACAGCTAAAAACAAGAGTCAGAATTCCAAACCAGGCAACAGGATTTCCCATGCTCTTCTCATTAAATGTGGTCTAGTCTCTAAAGTAGATTTAAAATGAATACTTTTTCCAAGTATATGCTTTTAGAAATAACTGGGAAAGGGGGTAGGGGAAAGAATTAAGTCACAATGGTATATGAATGATTAAATATGGATTGAGCCCTACTATGGGCTAGCGCTCTTATAGATGCTGGGGATGGGTCAGTGAATGAGCAGACCAGCTTTGCTCTATTGTTGTTTACATTCTACAGCAGAGGTTCCTATCCTTTTTGGCACAAGGGATTGGTTTTGGGTAAGAAAATTTTTCCACAGATGATGGCAGATGGTTTTGGGATGAAGCTATTGTACCTCAGATCATCAGGTGTCAGTTAAATTCTCATAAGGAGCGCACAACCTAGAGCCCTCACATGCACAGTTCTCAATAGAGTTCACACTCCTTCAGAGTCTAATGCCTGCTGCTGGTCTGACAGGAGGCAGAGCTCAGGCAGTAATGCTCACCCACTGCTCACCTCCTGCCATGCAGCCCGGTTCCTAACAGGCCATGGACTGGTACTGGTCTGTAGCCTGGGAGTTGGGGCCCCCTGTGTTTAGAGGAAAAATGCACAGTTGAGAGACAATAAAACAAGTAAAAAGAAAGTGTCAGACAATGGTCAGTGCTATGAGGCAAATAAAGCAAGGTGACTTGATTGTAACTGTTGAGTGATACTACCATAGCTATCCTTCCTAAGGCCAGAAAAGGCCTTTCAGAGGAGGTGACACTGTAGCTGGGAAGTGAATGGTAGATATTTTATTCACTGTTAAGAAGAATTTGAATTAAATATTTTCAACCATGTGAAAAAGTTTGGAAAAAAAATAAATTATCTTAAAGCCAAAATAAAACAAAACAAAAATAAAACCTAAGTGAAGCATCCTCTTATTTCACCAGACAAATGTGGAAAAACAACTTTCACATCTCTTTTCTCTCTGAAGTTTCACTCTCTTTCTCTGAATAAAGATGCAAAGGCATATATGATATTCTGTTTGAATACAGCAAATCCTCTTAGTGTAGACATGTACTTTTTAAATTTTACTTTTATCAAGTTACAGATATACAAAGGTTAAAAGGTCAAATAGCTCTAAAGAGGTAAAAGGAAGGGCAGCTCTCTTTTGTTGCACTCATTCCCACCTGCAGTTTCTGTTTTTTAGAGACAACCACTTTTTAAAAAATTATACTTTAAGTTCTGGGGTACATGTGCAGAATGTGTAGGTTTGTTACATAGGTATACAGATGCCATGGCAGTTTGCTGTACCCCAGCAACCTGTCATCTACATTAGGTATTTTTCCTAATGCTGTCCCTCCCATATCCCCCATCCCCTGACAGTCCTTGGTGTGTGATGTTCACCTCCCTGTGTCCATGTGTTCTCATTGTTCAACTCCCACTTATGAGTGGTGGTAGTGTAAATTAGTTCAACTATTGTAGAAGACAGTGTGGCAATTCCTCAAGGATCTAGAACTAGAAATACCATTTGACACAGCAATCCCATTACTGGGTATATATCCGAACGATTATAAATCATTCTACTATAAAGGCACATGCACACGCATGTTTATTGCGTCACTGTTCACAATAGCAAAGACTTGGAACCAATCCAAATGCCCATCAAAGATAGACTGGATAAAGAAAATGTAGCACATATACACCATGGAATACTATACAGCCATAAAAAAGGATGGGTTCATGTCCTTTGCAGGGAGACAACCACTTTTAATCTTTTAGTTACTTTATTTATTTAACATCTAGTACTTCAAAAATAGTAGATTTATACACTGTTTCTTTATTTTTTAGTTTTACACATTGCATATTGATTTCTTCTATTAAAAATAATATTTTAGCCATCTTATAATCTCTTCTTGAGAGGATATCCGTATCTATCTGTCTATCTGTCTGTCTATCTATCTATCTATCTATCTATCTATCTATCTATCTATGGTCTCACTCTGTTGCCCAGGCTGGAGTGCAGTGGTGTGATCATCCTCCCAGATTCAAGCAATCCCCTTGCCTCAGCCACCCCACTAGCTGGGACTAAAATTGCATGCCACCTTGCACATCTAATTTTTGTATTTTTTTTAAGAGAAAGAGTCTCCCTATGTTGTCCAGGCTGATCTTGAATTCTTGGGGTCTAGTGATCAGCCCATCTTGGCTTTCCAAAGTGCTAAGATTGCCGGCATAAGCCACCATGCCCAGCCCACTCCCACCATCTTTAAAAAAATTTACATTATTATTTTAATTAGAACATGGTTCACAGTTTGTTATCATAACCATATAAATATTATTTACATCTGAAGCATGTAGTTTGTTATGACTGCATTTACCTTCTTGTATATCCTTTTATCTTCTCAAGTATTAATGATTTTCTTATTTTAAAATTTCATTTGTTTTTTATGTATCATTTTTTCACACCTAAATTCTCCCTTACAACTATAAATCTCTTTTCAAATTCTCAAATACATTAGGCAGGTTATCAATTCCAACTTTTTCATGGAAACATTTCTCCTAGTGCTTTCCATTCTCTTGCTCTAGTAGTAATGGATTGATTTTTCATTATAGCATCATTCTGAGATCCTACCCTTTTATTTTTATTTTTTAAATTGGGAGTTCTGTTTCTTATGTTAAGTGAACTTTTTTTTCTTGGGTATAGTAGGCAGAATAATGGCCTGCAAAATATGTTCATGTCCTAATCCCTAGAATCTGTATATATGCACTTTACATAGCAAAAAGGAATTTGAAGACATGATTAAAGATCTTTTTTAAAATTGAATTTATTTTTTCATAGTTGTCAAAATCTATATAAAAATAGAAAAAAATATCAAAAGATAATAGCTGTAATAAGATTAACCTACAGCAGCTGCAGCACCAGTAACAACACTAAAAGACTTATTTCTGCTCCAAAATGCCTAAGAAAAACATATGACTCTCTTAAGCAACTTAATTTTAATCATGGCTAAAATAAATGGTATTGTAATATCTTCAAATGGATCTCAGTGATTGCACACTAATTAGTGTCTATAATGGGGCAAGTTATACTAGTTACATATTACAATCTGGAGAGATGTGTAAGTCAAATCAGAAGACATGATTTTTAGTCTATGCTTCACCATTTACTTTCTTTTTTAAAAAATTATTTTAAGTTCTGGGATACGTGTATAGAATGTGCAGGTTTGTTACATAGGTGTACATGCACCATGGAGGTTTGTTGCACCTATTGACCCATTCTCTAAGATCCTTCCTTTTGCACCCGAACCCCCAACACACACACAGGCCCTAGTGTGTGTTGTTCCCCCCACCGTGTCCATGTGTTCTCATTGTTCAACTCTCACTTATGAGTCAGAACATGCAGTGTTTGGTTTTCTGCTCCTGTGTCAGTTTGCTGAGGATGATCATGGCTTCTAGCTTCATCCATGTTCCCACACAGGACATGATCTCATGCCTGTTTATGGCTGCATAGTATTCCATTGTATATATGTATCACATTTTCTTTATCCAGCCTATTATTGATGGGCATTCGGGTTGGTTCCATTACTTTGCTATTGTAAATAGTGCTGCAGTAAACTACGTATGCATGTGTCTTTATAGTAGAATGATTTCTGTTTCTTTGGGTATATATCCAGTAATAGGATTGCTGGGTCACATGGTATTTCTGGTTCCAGATCTTTGAGGAATTGCTGTACTGTCTTCCACAATGGTTGAACTAATTTACATTCCCATCAACAGTGTAAAGGCATTTCTATTTCTACACAGCCTAGTCAGCATCTATTTTTTTTTGACTTTTTAATAATCACCATTATGACTGGCATGAGCTGGTATCTGATTGTGGTTTTTATTTGTATTTCTCTAACGACCAGTGATGTTGAGTTGTTTTTCATATATTTGTTGTCTGTATAAATGTCTTCTTTTGAGAAGTGTCTGTTCATATCCTTTGCCTACTTTTTGATAGGGATTTGTTTTCTTGTAGATTTGTTTAAATTCCTCATAAATTCTGGATATTAGACCTTTGTCAGACGGGCAGATTGCAAAAATTTTCTCCCATTGTGTAGGTTGCCAATTCATTCTGATGATAGTTTCTTTTGCTGTACAGAAGTGCTTTAGTTTAATTAGATCTCATTTGTCTATTTTTGCTTCTGTTGCAATTGCTTTTGGCATTTTTGTCATGAAGTCTTTGCCCATGCCTATGTCTTGAATGATATTGCCTAGGTTTTCTTCTAGGGTTTTTACAATTTTGGGTTTTACACTTTGTCTTTAATCTGTCTTGAGTTAATTTTTGTATATGGTGTAAGGAAAGGGTCCAGTTTCAGTTTTCTGCATATAGCTAGCCAGATTTATGAATAGGACATCCTTTCTCCATTGCCTTTTTAAAAATCAGGGTTGTTGAAGATCAGATGGTTGTAAATGTGTAGTGCAATTTCTGAGGAACTTGTCTGTTTTGTACCAATACCACGCTGTGTTGATTACCGTAGGCTTGTAGTATAATTTGAAGTCAGGTAGCAAGATGCCTCCAGCTGTGTTCTTTTGCTTAGGATTGCCTTGGCTCTACAAGGTCTTCTAGATTCCATATGAAATTTAAATTAGTTTTTTTTAATTCTGTGAAGAATGTTAATGGTAGTTTGATGTGAATAGCACTGAATGTATAAATTACTTTGGGCAGTATGGCCATTTTCATGATATTGATTCTTCCTATCCATGAGGAGGGAATATTTTTCCATTTGTGTCCTCTTTTATTTCCTGGAACAATGGTTTGTAGTTCTTCTTGAAGAGGTCTTTCACATCCCTTGTTAGCTGTATTCCTACATATTTTATTTTCTTTGTAGCAGTTGTGAATGGTAGTTCATTTATGATTTGCCTTTCTGCTTATCTATTGTTGGTGTAAAGAAATGTTTGTAATTTCTGCACATTGAATTTGTATCCTGAGTCTTTGCTGAAGTTGCTTATGAGTTTAAGGAGTTTTTGGGCTGAAATTATGGGGTTTTGTAAATGTAAAATAATGTTGTCTGCAAAGAGAGACTATTTGACTTCCTGTCTTTCTGTTTGAATTTCCTTGATTTCTTTCTCTCGCCTGATTGGCCTGGCCAGAACTTCCGTAACATATTAAATATATGTTACTATATTTAATGAAAACATATTTAGTTTTCAAAGGGAATGCTTCCATCTTTTGCCCATTCAATATGCTATTGGCTGTGTGTTTGTCGTAAATAGCTTTTATGATTTGAGGTATGTTCCATTAATACCTAGTTTACTGAGTTTTTAACATGAAGGGATGTTGAATTTTATCAAAGGCATTTACTGCATCTACAGAGATAAACGTGTTTTTTTCTTCGGTTCTGTTTATGTGATGCATTATGTTTATTGATTTGCATATATTGAACCAGCTTTGCATCTCAGGGATGAAACCAACTTGATCATGGTGAATAAGCTTTTTGATGTACTGATGGATTCGGTTTATTAGTATTTTATTGAGGATTTTCATATTAATGTTCATTAGGGATATTGGCCTGAAGGTTTCTTTTTCTGTTGTGTCTCTTCCCAGTTTGTGTATCAGGAAGATGCTGGCTTCATAGGAGTCTCTGCTTTTTAATTGTTTGGAATAGTTTCAGAAGAAATGGTACCAGATCCTCTTTGTATTTCTGCTAGAATTCGGATATGAGTCTGTCTGGTCCTGGGCTTTTTTTGGTTGGTAGGCTATTAATTACTGCCTCAATTTCAGAACTTTTTATTGGTCTGTTCCGGGATTCGACTTCTAGTTTAATCTTGGGAGGGTGTATGTGTTTGCATAGAGGTGTTTATAGTATTCTCTGATGGTAGTTTGTATTTCTGTGGGATCGGTGGTGATATCCCCTTTATCTTTTTTTATTATTTGATTCTTCTCTCTTTTCTTCTTTATTTGTCTAGCTAGCAGTTTATCTATTTTGTTAATGTTTTCAAAAAACCAGCTCCTGGATTTATTGATTTTTTTTGAAGGGGTTTTCATGTCTCTATCTCCTTCAATTCTGCTCTGATCTTAGTTATTTCTTGTCTTCTGTTAACTTTTGGATTAGTTTCCTCTGGCTTCTCTAGCTCTTTTAATTGTGATATTACAGTGTTGATTTGAGATCTTTCTAGCTTTCTGATGTGAGTATTTAGTGCTATAAATTTCCATCTTAACACTGCTTTAGCTGTGTCTCTATGAGTTTCTGGTATGTTGTCTCTGTGTTCTCAGTGATTTCAAATAACTTCTTGATTTCTGCCTTAATTTCATTATTTACCCAGGAGTCATTCAAGAGCAAGTTGTTCAATTTCCATATAGTTGTGTGGCTTTGAGTGAGTTTCTTAATCTTAAATTCTAAGTTGATTGCACTGTGATCTGAGAGTCTGTTGTGATTTCAGTTCTTTTGCATTTGCTGAGGAGTGTTTTACTTCCAATTATGTGGTTGATTTTAGCATAAGTGCCACATGGCACAGAGAAGAATGTATATTCTGTTGATTTGTGGTGGAGAGTTCTGTAGTTGTCTATTAGGTCCACTTGATCCATAGCTGAGTTCAATTCTGGAATATCCTTGTTAATTTAGGGTTAACTATCTGATTGTCAGTTGATCCTGTGTCATTGATCTGACTAATATTGACAGTGGGATGTTAAAGTCTCTCACTATTGTGTGGGAGTCTAAGTCTCTTTGTAAGTCTCTAAGAACTTGTTTTATGAATCATGGTGCTCCTGTATAGGGTTCATATATATTTAAAATTGTTAGCTCTACTTGTTGAATTGTTCCCTTTATGATTATGTAATGCCTTTCTTTGTCTTTTTAAATCTTTGTTGGTTTAAAGTCTGTTTTGTCAAAGACTGGAATTGCAACCCCTGTCTTTTTTTTGCTTCCATTTCCTTGGCAAATTTTCCTCCATCCCTTGATTTTGAGCCTATGTATGTCTTTGAACCTGAGATGGGTCTGCTGAATACAGCACACTGATGGGTCTTGACTATGCAATTTACCAGTCTGTGTCTTTTAACTGGGGCATTGAGCCCATTTACATTTAGGATTAATATTGTTATATGTGAATTTGATCCTGTCCTCATGATGCTATCTGGTTATTTTGCACATTAGTTGATGTGGTTTCTGCAGAGTGTCACTGGTTGTTATATTTTGGTGTGTTTTTGCAGTGGCTGGTACTTGTATTTCCTTTTCATATTTAGTCCTTCTTTCAGGAGCTCTTGCAAGGCAGGCCTGGTGGTAATGAAATCCCTCAGCATTTGCTTGTCTGGAAAGGATTTTATTTCTTCTTTGCTTATGAAGCATAGTTTGGCTGGAAATGAAATTCTGGGTTGAAAATTCTTTTCTTTAAGATTGTTGAATATTGGCCTCTCTTCTGACTTGTAGAGTTTTTGCTAAGAGGTCTGCTGTTAGTCTGATGGGCTTCCCTTTGTAGGTGACGTAGCCTTTCTTTCTGGCTGACCTTACGATATTTTCCTTCATTTTGACCTTGGAGAATCTGATGATTATGTGCTTCGGGGTTGATCTTCTCATGGAGTATCTTAGTGGTATTCTCTATATTTCCTGAATTTGCATGTTGGCCTGTCTTGCTAGGTTGGGGAAGTTCTCCTGGATAACATGCTGAAGTGTGTTTTCCAGCTTGTTTCCATTCTCCCCGTCTTTCAGGTACTCCAATCAATTGTAGCTTTGGACTTTTCATTTCTTGAAGTCTTTGTTCATTCCTTTTCATTCTTTTTTCTCTAATCTTGTCTGCATGCCTTATTTCCGCAAGGTGGCCTTTAAACTCTGATATCCTTTTTTTCTGCTTGGTCAATTTAGCTGTTGATACTTATATATGCTTCATAAGGTTCTCATGCTGTGTTTTTCAGCTCCATCAGGTCATTTATGTTCCTCTCTAAAGTGGTTATTCTAGTTAACAGGGCCTTTCTCCTTTTATCAACATTCTTAGCTTCTTTGCATTGTGTTAGAACATGCTCCTTTAGCTTAGCATAGTTTTTTATTACTCATCTTCTGAAGCTGACTTTTGTCAATTCATCCATCTCATTCGCCATCCAGCTCTGTGCCCTTGCTGGAGAGACATTGCAATCATTTGGGGAAGAAGAGGCATTCTGGCCTTTTGGGTTTTCAGCATTTTCTTCATTGATTCTTTCTCATCATGGTGAGTTTGTCTATTTTCGATCTTTGAGGCTATTGACCCTTGGATGGGGTTTTTTGTGGGCTTTTGTTGTTGTTGCTTTCTCTTAGTTTTTCTTTCAATAGTTGGGTCTCTCTTCTGTAGGGCTGCTGTGGTTTGCTGGAGGTTCACTTCAGGCCTCATTCATCTGGCTCACTCCTGAGCCCGAAGATGCCACTTAAAGAGGCTGGGGAACAGCAAAGATGGATGCCTGCTCCTTTTTTTGGGATCTCTAATTTCAGTGGACACCAACCTGATACCAGTAGGATCCCTCCTGTATAGGGTGTCTGACAACTCTGGTTGGAGGGTGTCACCTAGTTGGGTGGCACAGGGAACAGGACTCATTTAACAAAGCACTTTAATTATCCCTTGGTGGAGAGGGTGGGCTTCACTGGGGGAAAACCCACTCATCTGGGCTGCCCAGAGTCTTCAGAAGTACCAGGAAGAAAGGCTAAGTCTGATGGTCCATAGAGATTGCAGCCCTATCCCACTAGGGGCTCAGGCCCAGGGAGATCTGGGTTCTGTCCCTGAGCCTCTGGCTGGAGTTATTGAAGTTCCTACAGGGAGGCCCCATTTAGTGAGGAAGGATGAGTCAGGATCAGGCCTCAAGAGGCATTATGGTTGCAGTCTGCCACAGCTGGTGTGTTAGGCTGTGGAGGACATGTCTTGGGACCAAACCATCCAGCTTCCCTGGCTCCAGTAGGGCAAAAGCACTGCCTGGCTACAGAGATGAATGCCACCCTTCCCCTGCCCAGGAAGCTTAGTGTGTTAGGTGGTTGTGAGTCCCAGGGTTGGCTGCTGCCCCTCCCCCAATGAGCTCAAATAGCTTAGACAACAGGCAGCCACAGCTGTGGTACTGGTTGCCCCTTTCCTCAGGAGCTCAGTGGGCTTAAGGAGATTGCAGCAGAGAGGCTATTGAGAATCTGTGCAGCTCTGGGATTGGGAAGCTAGGCCCTGGTGGCATGGATTTGTGAGTGGAATCTTTTGATCTGTGTTGCACAGTTCTGTGGAAAAAGCATGGTTTCCCTGGCTGGGTAGCCTGCTCACTCACTGCCTCCCTTGGTTGGGCAGTTGGGGACTCCCCTGCCCTGTGTGGCTTTCAGGTGGGTTGCCATACCATACTGCTCTTACTTCCTCTCCGTGGATTTCAGCAGCTGCCTAGTCAGTTCTGATGAGAGAACCTGGATACCTTGATTGCCGGTGAAGGAGTCATGCTTATTATGGTTCTTTTCAGTGGGAGCCTCTGATTGCTGTTGTTTCTAGTCGACCATCTTGACCCTGTCCATTGATTAAAGATCTTGAGAAGAGGAGATTATTCTGGATTATCTGTGTGGGCTCAGTGTAATTAAATGAGTTCTTATAAGTGAAAGAGTGAGGCGTGAGAGTCAGTGTCAGTCAGAGATATTCAAAGATGTTATGCTCTTGGCTTTGAAGATAGAAGTGACCATAGACCTAGGAGTGAGAGCAGCCTCTAGAAGCTGGAAATGGTAAGAAAAATATTTTCTGTAAATCCTTTAGTGGAATGCAGCATTGCTGGCTGCTAACACATTGATTTTAGAACTTCTGACTTGCAGAACTGTAAAATAATAAATGTAAGTTGTTTTATACCACTACGTTTGTGGTATCTTGTTACAGTGGCAATAGAACACTAATACAGTGGGTTAGTCTCTAATTTTGATAGAGTATCTCCTGTAGCATCTTGAAAAAGAACATATGGAAAATAGATTTTTGATGGCTTATATATCTAAAAGTATCTTTATTTGTATGTTAGAATTCTTTGAGGTTGGAAGTAATTTTCCCTCAGGATGTTGAAGGTATTTCTTTATTGCATACTTTGTTCCAGTGAGAAGTCTAATGCCATTCTGATGCCTTCTCCTTTCTTTGTGACTTGTTTTATTTATCTCTCTGAAAGTTTCTAGTATATATATTTTTGTCTCCAATGTGGAGAAATTTCATGATGATATACTTTTGTTTTAGTGTGTGTCTTTTTCTGTCTAGTGTGTTAAGCACTCTCAATTTGGAAGTTTAACTTTATCAATTCTGAAACATTTTCTGCATTATTTATTTGATAATTTTTTTACTACTTTTCCTCTGTTCTCTCTTTCTGGAACTCTTGTTACTTGGATGGTAGACGTCCTGGACTCATTGTTAAATTTTCCTTTTTTCTCCTTTCCATTTTCTAATTTTTTCTTTGCTCTACTTTCTGGAGATTTCTTTAACCACATCTTCTAATTCTTCTTGACATTTATTCTATCTTATTTTTAATTTCCAAGAGATTTTTCTTCGTCTTTGAGTGTTTCTAAAAAATTTGCCATTCCTTTTCTCATATATAGAGTAATTTTTTTCTTCATCTCTAAAGAAAATAAGTAAAATATCAGGCTCCCTTTAAGATACCTGTTTCTGACTTTCCAGTTCATATTGGTCTTT